GCAGGTAGCCTGATTATAAATTAAAAACCCATCAACGTCACGTATTCTCGAAATAATACAGGCAACGCTGCGCTATCTGCCACATATTGACGCAAAACGAAACGAAATTATTTTTATGCACACACTTACAACATAACTTTTGCATTGTGTTTGAGTCAATTCGATCAGAATATCGGTTGAATTTGGCATCGGAAGCAACGTCGTATTTTACTGGGTAGTTGTGTACAACTGACTTCTTGGAAAATTTAGTTGCATTGCATTGCCTATGCAATTACTCAATTTGAAGTCTGTTTTCAAAATGCATGTTGAAATGCCATTCCATTACCCTCATTTACATAAAACCATTGTTAGAAGAATGTAAAGAACGCAACCAAACCCTCAAAACTTCCAGCCATGTACTACAATGAATCGTTGTTCTTCGAATTTCTCAGTTTTGTTATCATTAATAGGCAATGTATTTATTTGAGGTTTCATCACGATCAATAAGTTTAAACACGGATTTACACCTTTTTTAGACACCGTGCGTTTAAACTTTTGGAAAAAAAAAAACAGTAGTTATCGTAAAATTAGAAGTCATGTCAATTTAAGTTAGGTGATTGTATAAACAAAATTAGTGAACATTTTTGTTTGCCAAAAACCTTTCACAACCTAAATAAGTTTAGAATACTGTGAATTTTAAATTGAACAGTTTCTCGACTTTCTAAGCAAGTTTGTTAATTTTCTTTTGTTTTCTTTTCTTTTAACATATGTTAATGAGAAACGGCAAAAAGCAAAGCATTTCAGATTTGATTTACTTATTTGTAGTATTAACGTGACATGTTGATTAGTATGTAGCAATGGCTTCAAAAATGTTATAAAATGAGTAGACACATAAGTTAAAAACAGTTATTGTGACATACTTATTAGACACTAGCTTACGTTCGGGAAATAAAAGATATGTATTATACTCCTGGTTTTTCCAACAATATAAGCAAAACATAATTTTAATGTTACAAAGAAAATTGGTCAAACCCAAGAAATCCTAGTACTTTAAAACTTTTTTTTTTTTGGCTTGAACTTTCCACTTCTTCAATTTTTTTTTTTGTATTTTCAGTTTTTCGATTTGCAATTTTTTGAATTTTCAGAATTAATTTTTCAATTTGAGTTTCTCGAGTTTTCAATTTTCAATTTTTCAACATTTCTATTTCAGTTCATTCGATTTTTCGATTTGCAATTTTTCAATTGTTCATTTCTTTATGGTTTCTTCAATTTTAAGACATGCAACTATTCGAATTTTCATTTTTAATTTTTCAGTTTTTTTATTTTCCAACTTTTGGATTTTTCAATGCTTTGATTTGTAATTTCCAGAGTTTCAATTTTTAATTTTTCAATTTTTCGTTTCGGTTTTCCAGTGTTCTGATTTCCTAATTTTTCTTTTATTCAGTGTGAAATTTTTCAATTTTCAGATTTTTTAATTTTTCGATTTGTAATTTTTTGGTTTTAAATTTTGCGGTTTTTCAGTTATTAAATTTTTGATGTTTTCGTCTTTTCAGTTTTAGATTTTTCAGTTTCTCGAGTTTTCAATTTTCCGTTTCTACAATTTTTGATTTGCAATTTTCTTAGTTTTAAACGTAATAATAATTAGAATTTTTTAATTTTTCACCTTTTCAGTTTGACGGTTTTGGAATTTTTCCATTTTTGAATTATTGGATTTTAAAACGCCTTCATTTAATTCATTTTTAATTTTTCGACTTTTCAATTTTTCTTTCAATTTTCTAATTTTTCGATTGGATTCGTTTTTTCTTTCCTATTTTTCGATTCATAAATTTTTTCGATTTTTAAGTTTTTCGAATTTTTCATTTCTTCAGTACGATTTGCAATTTTTTGATTTTTTGATTTTTAATTTTCAATGTTTTTTTGGTGTGAAATTCTTCAATTTTAGTTTTTTCAATTTTAAATTTCTCATTTCTTTAATTTTTAATTTACAATTTTTCTAGTTTTCGCTTTAAATATGTAATAATAATCGCAAGTTTAAACATTTTTCACTTTTTCAATTTCGCGATTAGAATTTTTCCATTTCGATTTTAAAACTTTTTCAATTATTAAAGTTAATTTTTCAATTTCTCGATGTTTCAATGTTGTTTTTCGACTTTACAACTTTGACGATTCCATAATTTTCTGATTTTACAATTTTTGGGTTTTCGAATTTTTGGATTCGATTCATTTTTTTCTTCTTTCCAACTTTTTGATTCATTAATTCTTTCGATTTTTAGTTTTTCAATGTTTCAATTTTTCGTTTCTTTTGTTTTTCCATTTGCAATTTTTTGACCTTTTATTTTGGCGATTTTTCAATTTTTCGATTTGTAATTTTTTCATTTTTCGATTTTTCAAGAATTTTCCAAAAAATGGTTAAAATTGGTTCAAAAGACTGAAAATTGGTGTCGAATTGTACATAATTTTCCGCCAGTTAGAAATTCGAAATCACCTTCACGACATCTTTTGAACAAAGGTAAAATATTACAAAATTTTCAAAAATTTTCCAAAAAAATGGTTCAAATTGGTTCAATATACCGAGAATTGGTGTCAAATTGTTGATAATCTTTCACCAGTTACGTATCTGGAATCGCTGTCACGATCTTTGTTCCAATAAACAAGAAAAGTGAATTCAAAATTTTCGAAAATTTTCCAAAAAAAAAATTGTTAAAATCAATAGATAACACAGGCCTGCGAAATATAACTTTTAATTTCCCTTTTAAATAATATTGTTTTTTTTTAGGTATTTATGTATGCCGAATTAAAATATAACTCTAGTTTTTTTGTAGCACATCGAGATTTATTTTTATGTAGGCCTAAATATCCATAGTTTTTCAAACAATTTTTATGAAAAAATAAAATATAAAGAATATAAAATTGAATGTTTATTTATTAAATGAACTAAACTAATTATAAACAAGACTTAAAAAAACAAATAAATCAAGAAGCTTCTTTTTTTCTTTCTTCAAAGCTCTGATTTAAGCGTTTTCTCTTGTATTCACGATACGATATGTTATTGCTGTTACATTTTTCGCATTATATCATTTTAGCAAAAGTAACAATCGTCTCTATGATTTTGTGGCTCCATCCAAATCATTGGTGTCAGCAAACTTATCTGAACAATTAACCCATTTCCGAGAAGACATTAGTAATTTTTGTTTAAATTCAACGTAGTAAGCGCATAGTCGACACAAATAACTCTTACCTACTAAGCTGAACACGAAATGAAATATCAACACCATTATCCATACATATTATTACCACAAAATCTAGAAGTTCATTTTTATAGTACTAAGAACAAAAACTGAAAAAAATATTTTTTGTAGAAACTGTACGTGATAGAAATTTTTGCAATTTTTTTTTATACATGAGTATCTAAGACCTACCGAAATTACTACTTGATTTTGTTGGGGGAAAACCATCGCAGGCCTGTGTAATCTTCCGCCAGTTACAAATTTGAAATCGCCGTCACAGTATTTGTACCGAAAAAAAAATGCTTAAAGTCAACATTTTTGAAAGCAAATGTGTATCAGTTTGGATAGGTGATAAATTGACTCGTTCTTTAAATTTTTGAACCAACTTGTATAAGTAGTTCTAAAAATTGGTTGAAAGTTGTTTCAACAGGACTTCGCTTGCCCCTGAAGTAGAATCAAACATTTCCAGCATTTTCGAAAAATTATAAAATTTGATTTTGCGAATTTTATTTTTTCTTAAAAACATATCCGTATATGTAATATTGAAAAAAAAAAATGTAAATGTAAAAAAGCGTGGTAAACGTATGTTTGAAATGAGTTTTTATATTAAAAAATTTTGTGATGACGTCACCAATCTTTTGTGGGAAATAAACAGATATATTTTGATTAAAAAATTGCCATACTGACAATAACTTTAATGCAAGATTTCAAACCATTCGGCTTTGCAGTTCCTGATTTATTCAATAAAATAAATTGAGGCATTAATTTTTTTTTTTTTTGAGTCACCCTATATAAAATGATGAGTATGGACTCACATTTTCATATTTTAGACAGGGTTTATTCCGCATAACTTAGAAATATCAACACATTATATATTTTTATTTAAAAAAACTGATCATGTTCACTATAACTTTAAATCGTCTCAAGATTTCAAAGCATTTGGTTACGCAGATTCAAAATTAATTATTTGCCAAATGTTATAATTTTTTTTTTTTCGAAAATATGGATGTCTCGGGTAAAAACTCAACACGGATTCATAAACTATACGTTTATGTACAATTTTGAGATGACGCCACGACATTGTAGGTGGGGATGATCAGACAATGTTTGTACGTTTAGCGTTTAACTATCTATACAGTACATCATATTCAGAATACGTACATGTATAACATTTGACAATTGGTCCGGTAGTTTCGTTATTTGTCTAACAAAAATCGTCACGTACGGCGGACGGACGGACAGATGAACAGACAGACGGAAACGGGAGACCTATTTTTTCGTAATCTAGGGGCTATGACACATCAAGAAAATATAAAGTAGCCGGTCGCCCAATGGACTCGTTTACAATAGTTCCTTTACTTTTTGTACTATTGTAAAAAAAAACTCTGTATCACGAATAAGGTTAAAAATTTGCGACAGGTAGTATTTTTAAATTATTGACGGTTGCAACAAGGCGCCAAAACAAACACGCACAGTCCATGGTCTACAATTTCAGCGTCAGTAGTTCTGCGACGATTTATAAACGAAGTTTTCAGACCTCTATCCTCACAGCGTGCTTCGAATTAAAAAGTATTTAAATCCAACCATCTCAAAGAAACTTTTCCCCTATGAATCATTTATAAAACTACACAAGACTATAAAGCCGTTTCTAAGTAAGAACCCCCATCGTTTAGAAGCCTCGTGCCCACGTCAACCCGACTGGACCAAATCCAACCGTTATGATGAGCGGCATCGTAAATTCGCTTGGCAGCGTCTCAAAAGAACTCGATCACAACGAAAATAAAAACAAATCACCTTGCATAGAACCTCCACCGGCGTGGACATCTTCTTTTCGCTGATCTTTTCGTATTTCTGTTTCTTCGTCGCCGCTTTCAGGCCCTGCCACGGCAGACATCCTCTGTTGAAATACATCAGTACGTAGCCCAGCGACTCCATGTCGTCACGTCTCGACTGTTCGATGCCCAGATGGGCGTTGATCGAGGCGTATCGCGCCGTTCCCGTTAGATTCTTATCTTCGCGATAGCCGATGTGCATTCTGGTTCTCGCGTCCCTGAACTTCTTCGCCAGACCAAAGTCAATCAGGAAGAGTTTGTTGCAATGACGTCCGATTCCCATCAGGAAATTGTCGGGTTTTATGTCGCGGTGGATGAAAGACTTGCAATGGACGTATTCGATACGACCGATCATCTGATCGGCCAACATCAGAACGGTTTTGATCGTGAAACGGCGGGAACAGAAGTTGAAGAGGTCTTCGAGCGACGGGCCGAGGAGATCCATCACGAGGACGTTGTGTTCTTTCTCTTGGCCGTAATATCTGCAAGGATAGTCATTATTTTAATACGAGTTCGTGCGAGCTTTGTCTTTGTTAGTTTGATCATAATTCTGCTTAGATCTTTCACCAGTAAGCTGGATTATGAATGTCAATGGAAATAATTAATAGAAGAGATGATGAAAAACAATATATTAGATGCACACATTGGTACATATGCGATGTTCAACTGAAAAAAAAACTGTCTTTTTTTTTTTTTAATCTAAACGCGAAGGTACAAGGGCGGATTAATGAACCACAAGTACAAAAACATATTATTTTATATACACGTCATAAAATATCAAACGTATGTCTATAAATTATAATTTATAACACGTACACTAGGCTATTCATTTTCATAAAATTCCAGAATTACAAAGAGTCGACATTACAAAGCGAACGGTGCGACAGATACTGAGTTAATGAGTTCATCTTCATGTCCACGTTAAATTATTGATTTTTAATCATATGTCACAGTCGTTACGCGTTTTAGTGCATGGAGTCTTTTTTTTTTAGCGTTTCCCTTGTCGAAGCATTTTCTTATACAACACAACTCAAAAAATCGATGCTACTGTTGTCTGTTGTAGTCAGGACGGATACGATATGTCGGGCAAATCTTTAAGCCCTTTAAATATACGTATCTAATAACAAATTCTATGATTTCCAGTGAATTGTCAATGCAGTAAAGACAGCGTATTTACTTGAAAACAGTTTATTGCGAAACAAAAGTCCACTTTAAAATATACAATTAACAGATCAAATTTCTATGATTTCATCTCCTACACCACTCATAGTTGAATAGTATAATAAAAATTTAACTGCGTAAGCACTTTTCTTGATTAATCTTATGAAGAGTTATGTTCAAATTTAGCGTGTGGCGTATGTTTAAATAGCAAAAAAATTGATTGAAACTTGTATCGACAGAACTTCCCTCGCACCTAAAGTACAAAGAAATATATTTCGAGTTGAGTTTTACTTTACACAATTTTGTGATGACGGCATCAACATTTTTGCAAGGACACATATATTAACTTGGGTTGGTGAAATACAGTGTAATACTTTAGAGGGCGGGTGGGCGGAGCTAGTATTTGTTAAAAAAAGACAGATTTTGATAAATAACTGAACAATATTAAGAGTAATCACTGGAATGACGAGCGGGTGGGTGGGCGGGGCTATTGCTTGCTTATAAAAGAGTCTACAGGAAAAAGTTAAATTTAGCCCCGCTCACCCACCCCTTCTCTCATTTTTTTTCTTCCTTCAGAAATAAATGGTATAACAAGTAGTATAACAAAAACATTACGAATAACGGTTTTTTTTAACAAGCTACGTTCTATTGGTTTCCATTCTCACTTTACAAAAGAACATATAATTCACCACGCCCACTCACCCCGTCTCCATTTCAGTGATCCATTTTGTCTGGTCCGAATGAAAGGTGGATCTCAATTGAAGGGAGACAAAATCGTTAAAATGAGAACAGTGTATGTGGAGCTAGATAGGTAAGGTTGATTTTAGTAAATGCCATACCCTCTAATAAAATGAAGGGTGGGTGGGAGGGGCTTATACTTGCCAACATAAGATTGATTGTGGCAAACGACATACCCTCTAAGAAAATAAGGGGGGGGGGGGGAGGGTTCTAATACTTGTTAAGATAAGATTGATTTTGGTAAATGACATATCCTCTAAGAAAAAAAAGGGTGGGTGGGCGGGGCTAAAACTTGCTAACGTAGGAACAATATTAAGAGTAGTCACTGAGACGAAGAAGGGGTGTGTGGGCGGGGCTACTCCCTGCTCATAAAACTAGAGAAAGCTAAATTTAGCCCCGCCCACCTCGTTTCTCCATTTCACTGACTTATTTTATTTACTGTAAAATCGAAATTGAAAAACAACAGTATTACATTCTCAAAATGTTCTGGGAAAATGAAGTGAGTCGTTCCTGATTTAATGAATAAAATAAATTGACTCATCCATTTTTTTTTTGAGCCACCTGTAAACCTGTAAAAGATACGAATGCAATGATAAATCACAAGTAAAAATATTATATCATCATCATATTTCGCACATTTTGGGTAGTATTAAATTCGGGAAAATTTTGAGGTGATGTCATCAATTTTTTGGGGGGATAAACAGATGTATTTTGGTTAACGATTTACCATGGTTACAATAACTTTAAAACGTCTGCAAGATTTCCAGTTTTGCAATTCTCGATTTATTCAATAAAACAAATTGACTGATTCATTAATTTTTTGAGTCACTCTGTATAAGCAAATCTAAAAAATATGAATGCAATTATAAATTATAATTACTGATCATGTTTTGCACTTTTTTTTTCAGCAAAATTTTGAGGTAACGTCATCAATTTTTTGGGGTGGAGGGTGGAGGGTGAGCGAATACCTTTTGATCAAAAATTTACCATGCTTATGATAACTTTAAAACATCTCCAAAATTTCAAAGCATTCGATTTTGTAGTTCCTGATTAAATCAATAAAATAAATTCACGTATGTATTCATTAATTTTTTTGAGCCACCCTGTATAAGCAAATGCAAAAAATATGAATGGAATTATAAATCACAAGTACAGACTTATCATATTTTCTACATTTTTGGGCTGACCAATTTTTTGGAGATAAGTAACATATTTTGATTAAAAATTTATCATGCCCACCTTAAAACAGAGTGGAAGATTTCAAAGCATTCGGTTTTGCAGATTCAAGATTAAATTGCAAAATGTTGTTTCATAATTTTGATTTTTTTTTTCAAAAATCTGGACGTTTCGGGTAAAAACTCAATTCGGAGTCATAAATTACATGTGTAGGACTATGTTATTTTATACAATTTAAACCCAATTACTATGTACAATTTTGAAGTGACGTCATCATATTATTGGTGGGGATGATTAGACAATTTTTTGGTTAGAGTTTTACTATCTACATGATGTTCCTAATATGAATACAAAATTTGACAACAATCGGCCTAGTACTTTCGGAGATTATCTTGTCTAATAAAAATCCGTGACGATAGACAGACAGACAGACAAACGGATGGACAGACAGACAGACTCGATTAGAATACTTCGCCTAAAATACTTGTCGAAAAATAAACATTTATTTCAATTCGAACGTCACTACAAATGCTGCACAATGCAATGCCTAGCCCCGCTTTTTTAACAAAAAGTGTTCTATTATGTTCTCTATTGAGCACCACCATGTACATACACACAGGAGTGGAGAAATACAAGAAAAATCATGAGCGTGCTAGGCCTAGAGTGCTAAAATATATACATATTTTGTTTTTTGTTTCACACTCTTATCATCAGTACAAAATGTTAAATTTCATCACATTTAAATGCAACGTAAAAAATTGGTCGGAGGCTATTTCAACAGAACTTTCCTCGTTCCTGAAGACGAGCACAACAAATTCGGTAAAATTTGATTTTGCCAGTTTTCTTTTGTGATAACCTCTATTAAATACAATAAAAACCAGTGGCGTAAATAGCACCCCCCCAGCCTCTGCGCCGTGGGAATCCAGTCCATTCACGTGCGGACAAGATGAAATATATTTAAAACAGGGAGGGAAATGTATTATCACTACATCCTTTACTTCAATTGTTTACTATTATACAACGAAAAATTGTGGCGATTAAGCATGTAGCAAACTAAAATTATAAGTTAAGCTACAATGCAGCAAAACCTTCTAAATATAATTGTAATTCTAATATTTTTACTGTGGAGCCACGCAGCTACCAAACAGCCGTGTTCTGATATTGTTATAAAATGTGATATGAATGTTATTGCGAAAATCTGGATACCTGGGATAAAAAAAATTAAGGCGAATTCATAAACCAGAAATATAGGACTATGTTATTTTATAAAATTTAAAGCGACGTCATCAAATTGTTAGTGGGGATGATGATTTTGGTTAGCGTTGTATCATCTACAATGGGTCCAGATTATCTGTCTAATAAAAATCGACACAAACAAGACAAATAGGCAAACGGAAACGTGAGACTTACTTTTTCGTACTCTACGGGTAAGAAACGTTGAGAAAACATGAAATTAGCTGTTCGTCGTACAGATTATAGTACAACACTTCCTTAACTTACGCTCAGAAAATACAAACTACGAAATTTTTTACTATTTAAGTGACCTTCTGTTAGCAGTTTATTATTTGTTTGTTAAACGTAACTGTTAATGTCGTATTACATGTATTTGTTGTTAAAATTTTCATTGACGTTTTCATAGATTTTACTGTTATGTAGTTTCATTTCAAATAAACTGATTACTATTATTACGTTATTGTACCGTTCAATGAAGAATTGGTTACGTAGCCAACTTCAATGGGTTTTTATAACATTCTTTGTCATAAATTAGTTCTGAAGTAATAATTAGTGTAATTACTAATCATTACAGCAAGTGCGAAAATAAGAATTAACCTTGTTAATTCAGATTCGATTAATTCAGGTATGCACAGTTTCTACTACCAGTTTCAATAATTGTATGTTGCTCGATTAACATTTATGAAATGAAGATTTAATACATATAATCACATCACAAGAACTCAAATCGTCCTTACCAAAGCAATAAACTTAATTGGAGTTGAAAAATTGGAAAAAAGCATACATACTTATTTAACTGTCGTTTTAGACAAGATTTTTTTCTTAGATAGATTGCCACGCATTTTTTTACAAAAATATTGAAGATAAAAGTTTCAATACTAAAAATAAAGATTTCATAACAAAGCGTCGCCATTCCAATATAAAAATTAAATAAAACATATTTTAAAAATAACTTATATGAAAAGTGTACGTAATCAAAATACTACAGGTGGGATAAAGCAAAAATCATAATATCGGTGTGGATTCACGGATTATCGGCTACTAAAAGAGAGCGCTATCAAGGTAATTCATTCCACGTGGATTCATTTAGCTGCTGCCAAACTGCAAAATTTTTACAAAAATATATTCTTTACTCAAAACGAATTAATGTTTTGTGCCAGATTTCCATGAGCAT